AGGGGGTTTTAACCTTTCTTGCTTTTCAAGAAGATAAAGTTGCAGATGGAAAAGATTTATAATGGCCTGTGGCTGGTTTCTCTTTTCCAGTGCAGCTTCCCTACCCTTTCCTCAGAAAATTTATTACTTCAGTTTTGCATGTCCTGTTTACTTCTCTCACTTAGCCCATGATTTAACACTACACATGGCAGGCAGGAAACTATAATAAAGGCAAATCAAAGGCTTAGGATAACATTGGAAAAATAGAACTGTAAAAAAAAGGTCTTAAAGAGAACATGCCCCAGTACTGAGCCCTGGGGAACACCACTTGTGACCAGCTGTCAACTGGATTTAACTCCATTAACTCTGCTCCATAACCTTCCCTGGCACCAAGGTCAGACTGACAGGCCTGCAGTTCCCTGGATCCTCCTTCTGGCCCTTCTTGTAGGTGGGTGTCACATTTGCTAACCTCATTTGCTAACCTAAATCTGTTTCTAGCCCTGAGATGCTGGTGGACGTTGGGCAGATCACGACTTAAGGGGGTTTTAACCTTTCTTGCTTTTCAAGAAGATAATTGGACTTAACCAAAGTACTTTGAGAGCATCAAGTGAAAGGTGCTATAAAAAAAATATGAGCAGTAGGAAGCCTTGATGAATGAATTCCAGCCTTCATTGTATAGGTTATCCTGAAAGAAGGTCATAACTTTGAGCTCAAAAGTTGACAAGGATATCTTTTTGCCCCTTGTGAAGCACAGCTTCCCAGCAGCTTCATCCTCCTCCTCATCACCAAGGCTTCTGTAATCTCATTTCAAAAAAGTAATAAAGGCACCCCCGATTCTCACACTTCTATAAAAACTGACAATGCAGGACAAAAAACTGACAATGCAAACAAAAAAAACCCCCAAGCCAACAACCTGTAATGCTGCAAAGATGGCATGGAAAAGTAATCAGTATTTGAATTCAATCTGCAGCTCTCAGTGCTGCAGCCTCCCTGACTCATCCAAGCCAGGCTGCTTTATCAGAGCTGTCAGCATCACTCTGAGACAAGTGTGTAATAAAATATGGAAAGTGTGTTCAAAACTTGTGACCTCACTGGTGCAACGAGCTGTGGTGAAAGACGTTTTCTTCTCCCTGTGAAATGCTGTGGTGGGGCTGCAGGAGACTAGAGGCAGACATATATTGCTGCTGCTAATGTCACTGCTTCTGCCAGGCTTGTTTTGTGTACAGAGGACTTCTTCAGGGCTCAGGGGATGCACCCTCAGCCACCTTCACCAGTATAAAATGCAAAGCTTCACTTCTGGCTATAGTAATAGGGGCTAGAATCATAGAATCACAGAATCATTTAAGTTGGCAGGGACCTCCAAGATCATCAAGTCCAACCACTGAGCCACCAGGGCTCCAAAGTCCTCTGCCAAAACAGATCAGAATCTGTCAGGGTGGGAAGGGACCACAAGGATCCCCCAGTTCCAACCCCTCTGCCATGAGCAGGGACACCTCCCACTAGATCAGGCTGCCCAGAGCCTCCTCCAGCCTGGCCTTAAAGACCCCCAGGGATGGGGCCTCAACCACCTCCCTGGGCAACCCATTCCAGGGTCTCACCACTCTCATGGGGAAGAACTTCTTCCTCACATCCAGCCTGAATCTGCCCACTGCCAGCTTTGCCCCATTCCCTCTAGTTCTGTTGTTACTTGAGATCCTAAAAAGTCCCTCCCCAGCTTTCTTGTAGGCCCCCCTAAGGTACTGGAAGGCCACAATAAGGTCACCTCACCCTTATGTGTCCCTTCTGCCTTCCTAGTGCAGATAAAAAATCCTTCCCAGTGGGGTAAAAACCAGGTTGCCCATGAGTCAGAAATCACACCAGCATGGCTACTGCAATAAAACCAGATGACTCTACTTTCCTGCAACCCACTTCTGTAGACAGAGCTCTGGCTGAACTCATCACTGCCCAAGCCTGAACCCTTCCTGTTCCCACTGCAGCTCTGGTGTCTCTGTGTTTGCCACACAATGAAAAAGCTTTTCTGTTCTTTCTCCTATTTTAGCGTGGAGCTTGGGTGCTAAAATAAAACCCGTTAAGTTGGCTACTGTTATTCATTCAAACAGGACTGCTGCATCTGTGATTTTAGACCAAAGCACTGCAATCTCTCTGCATTTCATGGCTGCACCGTGGCAGGGTAGGAGAATGCTGTAAAAATTCATCTGATGGCTCCAAAGCAGCAAGAACACCTGCAGGGCTCAGTCATGCTCTGTCTCCTATCTGCAGCAGGAGAGAAATGCAGAATAATGTTGGAAAAGACTTTCCTCTTCAAGCCTCTAGTCCAAACTGTGCTCAAAAACTGTGTTCAAGAAGAATCATTTTCATCCATCATCATTGGGCAAGACAGAAATTAAATATTTGTCTGCATGGATTAAATGCAGCACCTCAAAGAACTGATAGAGAATAAAATTTCCAGCCAGTATAGTTTCCACTGCAAAGAACTGGTAATGAAATATTTGTCTTAGCACCTCATCCTTACTGCTTCATTAACACTGTCTGCTCTTCCAAAGGTTGGATGTGCAAGGCGTGCAGCTGATGTTTTTAAAGTCAAATTAAAGAGTAATTTCAGAGATGGATTGATTTTTAAACATCACTGAGTCTTCTCCTAGGACTGAAACCAACCAAAGTTAACAGAAAATAGTTTGCAGCTCTTCTAGCCACTGGCTTTTGAACCTCTTTGTTTGGTCCCTTGGCCAGAACAGGTTAAGGCATAGTGGTTAAAATGCCAGTGTGCCAATGGAAAAACAGCTAAAAATGCAATTTTCAGCACTGGCAACATCAGTGAAATTACCTAAGTTGGAGCAAAGGTGTGAAATGTGAGTGAAACAAGTTGCCTGTGGCCTCAGCTTTGCTCCATGAGCCACAGGGCTGAATGAGTGTTACTCAAACAAAATTCATGTACACAGACTATTGTCTTTTTTTAACCCCTATAGGAACTTTCAAATCACAGTTCCTCCCACTCACAGACACCACCCTCCTCTAAGGTGACTTAAAACCATCATCTGCCTCCTGTAAGAAATTATTCCCTCTTCTGGTTTTATTCCCTATCAGAATGAAGCATGAAATTCAATATTAAAAGTTCCCAGAAAACACAGACCTGTAGATTTTCAGGTAGTCACTAGCCAGGACATGTCTACACCACCACAACTGCTAGAGAAGGTTGTACTTCCACATCTCTTGCGTTCACTATCTTCCTTGCACAGCTTTTTTCAACAGCCAAACCACCTCTTGGTCACAATGTGACATGGAATGCCACCCTAGGGACTAGCTGGGCTCAGGCAGGGTAGGTGGTATGTGGAAGGTGACAAACAGACACCTCAAAGCTCCACGTGCATGCCAAAGGTAGGCAAAGAAAGACTGTGCCCTACTCTCCACTGAGCCCTCCTCACCTTCTCATCTGCTCTTGCCCCTGATTTTGTGTTGTGTGAAGACTTCCTTCCAAGGAATGGTGCTTACAAAGGGCTATGTGAGGATCATATATATATAAATAGTGTGGTGCTTCACACTAAAACATCTTCCAGAACACCTCTTAGGTTTATATATACAGCAGTGTGCAGTGCTCCTAGAGGTAACCATGTGTCTAAGGAAGTAAGAGGTAGATAGACTCTTGATAGACTATTGATTTACTGATAACTCATGTGAGATCATGCTGTTCAACTCCTCACTCTGTTGCCCTTTAGGTAATTATGGGGTTTTTCCATCTTAAATTATCTGCCTGTTTAGACCTTCACTACCTGTGCCCCCTATGGTTACCTGAGATCCAGAGGAGGGCAGCCCCAAGGAAAGGGCTGTTCTGGGTTATCTCCACACCTTGCTTTTCCCAAGCATCTGGGGCTGCACTGAGCTGGCTCAGCAGCTCTCAGCTGCCAGGCCCACGTGGATCTGCTCTGGCCATGAGCACAGACAACTGAGAGACTGCTGAGCTGTGCTCCTGGCAAGAGCACAACCCCCACGTACTGTTTTGGCAAACAAGGCTCTGCTATGAAAAAGCCACTAGCAAAAGACACAAAAGTGCCTGGTTGATGAGGCTGAAGGCAGACTTTGAGATTTGGGGCTAGTTCATAAAGGCCCCCATCTCCTGGGATGCTTATGCTCCTGCAAAGCCATGACCAGTCATGGTGGGTTTGGAGATCTTTGGAGAAGAGCAGGTCCACTGTTATCCATCACAGATCTTCTTTCTGATAGTATCAGCAACAGAATAAAAGCTACATTTTTGTGTGTGTGTGTGTGCTTGTGTTCATGGCCCAAATACAGAAGAGTGGTAGTGAAAAGAGTGGAGGAGAAACTTGCAGGAGAAACAGTCTCTGGACAGACCCTTAGCAGTGATTTCACTGGGAGAGACAGGACCTCAATCTGGAGCTGTTCCAAAGGTCACCCATTTCACTAGTAGCACAGCACAGGCAGCATATACATAAATAAACTCCATTATATTGACTTTTGATTGTCTTATTAAAAAATGATCAAGCCCTACAGTTTTCTCTGGGTCAAGTACACAGGAGCAGTGAATTCCCCCACCTTGCCCCATTCCCTTCTTTCTAGGGACTGGCAGAATCATGTCACACATACATAGAGAAAAGAGGGTGGGGAGACACACACAGTCACATTTTGTTGTGTGTTATTAATGATGGAAAACAGCAACTTCAAAGAGAGATTTAATTTTAAACAAAGTCATTTTCAAACTTAACTGCTGCCTTGAGGATGATAGTGGGATGCCTGTGACAGTTGTACTACAGTGTGTGTCTTGTTCTGTACAGTAGCTCTGCAGTAAGGGATCACAGATGGCTTGTGGTGGTGGAAAGACCCTGATTTTACAGCTTTCAGAGTTACTGTACTTGCAGATTTCCACCTTAAAAGTAATTGGACGTGTCTGTAACTCCGAGAAGGTTTGCTAAGCAATGACACATTGCACTTGGATCTTGAAGCATAACATCTGGAAGCCAAATGTTAGAGGCAATATAAAAGGGCCAGCCCAAGAAACCAGCGGGGCATTTCGAAGCCAGGAACATCCTCAGGATGGACCTCATCCTCCTGTGTGTGTTCCTGCCCCTGGTGAGTGTGGCGTGGGGCCAGCACGGCGCCGACTATTACTACGGCCCCTATAACTACGGAGATAACGACGAGTGGGTCAACGTCTACCGGCAGGGCTTCAACTTCCAGTGCCCACACGGGCAGGTGGTCGTGGCCATCAGGAGTGTGTTCAGCAAGAAGGAAGGCTCAGACAGACTGTGGAACTACGCCTGCATGCCAGCAGCCCAGAGCCTCGGTGAGCCGACAGAGTGCTGGTGGGAAGAGATCAACAGGGCGGGAACCGAATGGTAGGAAACCCTCACCCACCCCTGGAGGGCACAGCCCCCCTACCCCCCGTGGAGTGTGGGTGCTAATACTGCAGCCAGAGCCATGCAAACATCTCACCACTGGTGGCTTCATTGCCCTGAAGGGTTGTCTGAGACTCGTGATGCTTGAGTGTGAGGTTATCAGCATCACATTTGCCTTTTCTGTAGCAATTTCTTGCTGGAGGGTCTCGGTGGTTTAGAAGTTTTATGTCGTTTGGTCACTCACAGCCTCAGCTCTAAAGTAGTTTGCCTTTTAATTATTGTTTCACAGATGAGGAAGATAAGGCATGAAGCTTCACTGGGGATAAAGTCCCTCTTGAAAGGCCACATGTTGAATCAGTGCCTAATCTGGGGAACAAACTGTAAAACTCACTCTGTCCTCCTGCTCTTATCGCTTGAGCAAAGAATTGTTCTCCCCATTGCACTGGCTTTTCTCTTGGTGTGCTTGTTGCTAAGCTTTTTTGGCTTAGGCACAGTCAAAGGCTGTTTTCTAGTCAAGCTGGTATTGCAGGAGCCAAAAATCTCCACTAATGAGCGGTGATGGTGGCGTACACATGCTTGATAATCACCTCAGAAGATGATGTTCATTCCCTAATAGGGTCAGTTGGGGTTAACTAAATATTACATTTTTCATCAGCCTTAGAGGTGAGCACATTGTATGGCCACAATAATTTCTGGAAGTGTGTCTAGTGTCTCATGTTTAGGCAGCATATAGCCAGTATTTCATTATCTTCTGATTTTCCCATGAAATGTGAAACATAGTTTTGGAACACACTGAGTTGGAAATATTCTTTGGACAGAAGGAAATGAATGAGAGAATATTTTCAAATCCTTGAAATGGTTGTATTCCAGAAATGGCAATGTGATTTTTGCAGATTTCATGTTATATGGGAACAGGTTAGCAATGAAATGTGAAGATTCTGCATTTTAAATGATTGAAAATTTCGTTCTGAATTATTCATCCTCTTTCATTTACCACGTGATAGATTCTTATGGCTGATGCAATTGCATAGGGAAAAAAAAAAGATTGACCCTATGCTTAATTTTGGAACATGAACAGAAAAGACAGGGGGAGGACTGCAACACAGGCAGAAAGAAGCCACTGTGATAATCCTGGATGACTTCTTCATTTTTCATACACTGATGCAATTTCTACTTATTGGAAAGTAATTTTGAATTAGACCTTTTTGTTGTGCAAAATAAAATTATCATTCTCTTTCTAAAAATCCTTGGCAGCAATTGCTCACATTCACTTCTCAAAAACAGGATACTGTGTATGTCTACACAGAACATTTTCTTCTGCTGGCTGTCCATGGGGCCATATTCAGCACCATGCTCTGTATGCTTGGCATGACTCTCTCTACACTCCATTCTCAGAATCTGTTTCCTTCACCTCTTAAAAAAAGAAATAATTCACTTTGTCCTCTTTCTTGCCTACATTATTGCCTATTGCCAACTCTATCTTTTCTCCAAGTGTAATTTTCCAACCCCTCTTTAATGTGTTTAACTGTTTCACTCTCTTTCCTAGCTTTTGGAGTTAATTATTTTATCTTTCCTAGCTTTTGGAGTTAATTATTTTATCTTTCCTAGCTTTTGGAGTTAATTATTTCATCTTTCCTAGCTCCCCTTTCCAGTCCAACATCTTACATCCTTCCATCTACCTGTCTTCTCTACATAGATCTCCTTTTTTTCTTTCTTTCTGTTTTGGGGGCAGGGGGAAATACACCCAAGTGATTAGGAAACACATACCCCTTTGCAAAGGTGAACTTGTGCTCCTAAAAACTTGAGCTGTCTCCTTAAATCTTAGCTAGCTGTGCCTTGTTGTTTTCTGCAGTTGGTTTTTCATGGCGTGGATGAAACCTGGGGGGGCTTTTGACAATCCCACACCACCTCTCCTGCAGTCTGACTTCTCATAGCTGCCTCTCTTTTCCCTCTCTCTCTCTCTTCCATGCCCAGCTCAATGCTATTTGGAGCCATTCCCAATTCTAAAGAGAATCCCTCAGTAATCAAGTAGGACCACAAATATGAGTCACCATCTATACCATGAGTTCCTGTTTGGCCATCTCTGTTTCCCTGCTGATCTCCTGATGATCCAATCTGTTGGTGAGCAACACATCACCCTTGTGTCAGCTGCCACAGCACTCTGCTGGACTCCCTGGTCCATTCCCCTTCCATGTAGGATGGACTGTAATGTTCCTTCTTCAGGTCTGCCTCACAGGGTGTTGTTAAGAAACCAAGAAAAGCTTTAGAGACCAAATTAACTGGGGACATAAAGCAGAGAGGAGTCTCTCAAGGAATCCAATCAGAACACAGCTTATGTTCTTAGCTTAGTTGTACTGGAGGGAGTTTGACCTTGGGTAACTATTTCAGCACTTCAGAAAAGGTGAGGTCTGAGTGCTTGTGGGTGAGACTGTTCCTCATTGCTTCACTGAATACTTGAGCTCTCTCTACAGACTGTCTTTGTTCTTAAAAACTACTTTATTTTTTTGGCTGACAGCGATTGTACCAAAGGACAAGGATTATACAAACTAACAAAAGTTTGCAAGTGAAAGACAAACAACTCTTCCTTCCAGGAGAACATGTTTGTTTTACACCACATCATGCAGATGGAAGCATGCCAGATCTCCAGTCTAGTCCCAGTTAGCCATAAGGCACAAAGCAGAAACATTTCCAGCCAAGTGGTATTCAATGCATGTTTGTTGCCTCTTCTTGTTGAGGCTTCTGAGAAAGTGGATGGTATTTGGAAAAACACAGCTATCTAGATTCTCCCTCTCCAGTCCCATTCTCACTCTCCTTTGCCCTCTCTTTCAGTGCACAAACACAGACCCTCCAAGCAGGCACACAACCCTGTTTCCCACAAACTGGGTGCAAAGACAGGATGATGAGCAGAAGAAGTGTCTGCAGGAGCCTCCTGTTCAGGCACTGGCAGCACACCCCAGGACATTTGCAAGGAACTGTTTGTGTTGTCAGGCTCTGACCAATCCAAGTCTCAGCTCTGAGGCTGTATTATCCAAACCTGATAATCAAGCTGCCTTTTCAAAATGTTCCCATTTGTGCTATCTTCACAAACAAGTTCATTTTCTTCCAAGCCCTAGGTTTATGTTAAAGGGATAATGCTACAAACTCTCAGCACAGCTGCAGTAGACAGAATCCAGTGGCAGCATGGGAGAAGAGGGGTGTTTTTGGAGATGGGGAGGACTTATCAGCATCTGTCAGAAAGAAATCTACAGACTGATTAAGGCCTTGCCTTCCTTTTGGGTGGGAAGGAGAAAGAAAGTCATCACTAACCTCTAAATGAAAGCAAAAGAGAGCTGCAGATGATAATGAGGTTGCCTTTGGCACGTGGAAGTCACAACGATACATCTCACCACCCCAAAACAGATAGTGGAGACCCCTCATGGAAGTGGCCATTGGAGACTGGTACAGCCTAATTAAACACAAAAAGATCATTCCTTTCATCTGAGCAACAGTGTTTCAAGTGTCTTGAACCTGAAGATCAGGACAAGGCCTGTCCTTCACAACTCTAACCATGGTCCTCCTGGCTGCATGAACTTCCTTCACCTCTCTCCATATACACTCCAGGGAGGACTGCAGATGTGTTCAAGGCCAGGTTGGATGGGGCTTTGCCCAAGCTGGTCTGGTGGGAGGCGTCCCTGCTTGTGGCAGGAAGGTTGAAACGAGATGATTTTTAAGCTTCCTTCCAACCCATTCTATGAATTTGCCATGTGTGACCCTGACCTCCAAGACAGGTTTAATGCCAGCATTAGATGGGGTACAACACTTGTCTAGCAAAGAGCAAAAATAAGATGTAGGCATAATTATGACATGTCATTGCTCAAAACAATTATACTGTTGCAAGCAATATTTCTCATCATTCTGGTGGGCAGCTGTTGAGTCAGTGAGGTGAACACTTGGTCACTGACCAAGTCACAGGCTACACCAATGTTTGCATATAACGTGGCACAGTTTAAGTGGATCTGCAGGGTGAAAGAGTTCATGCATGGCCCCAAAAGCCACACAAGCATTTTGATTGGGTTTGTTTCAAACCAGCTCTGGTTTGGTCTCACAAAGGACAGCTCATGGGTGAACAAGGAGAGGGAGTCCTGACCTGAACTAATCTGAAAACATGGATGTACACTTCACTTGCTTGCTATGACAGAACTCAGCTGCACAACACTCACTAACCAGATCAGAAAAAGGTTCAGCAAACTAGAGGCTTCCCACAGCAATTAGAGCAGGACTTGCTAGCAGTCTCTGCTAGCACATCCCTCTTACTACACACAACACTCAAAATAAGGAATTACTGCCAATGAAACTCTGCAGTTGTGTCCAACAGATGTAAAGGAGGGAAGAGAGGGGCAGCTTCCCATTCAACACCCCCCGACCCTCACCACCACCAGTCTTCCCACTCCTACATCTACCAGCCAGCTCACCTCCTCTTCTCCCAGCACCAGATCCAAAAGGCAACTCCTCATACATCTCAGCTCAAGCCAACCAGAAAAACAAAACAAGAGATCCATTGCCAAGTTTAATCCCACACAGTCTCAGCTGGTTTCTCATGCTCTTCTGCATTCACCTAAAAGGTATCTTCTGTTCTTAGCAGTGTCAGGACTTCATGAGTGAGGAGAACCTCAGTGACATTCATTCTGAATACTGAATTACTCTCTACATCAAATTTGTTACAGAGTGGGCCTAGTGAAAAAGGCATTTTTTTTTTTCACTTGGCCAAAAATCAACGTTTTTATTCACCACACTGTTTTGGAGGATTTGCTGTGACAGGAGTAGTGAATTCAACAGAAAAGGAAGAAATTCTCACATATTAAATGGGGTTTTTGGATTAATGCATAGAGCATCTGACTAAAAAAGGTGTGAGGGGAGGGTTAGTTTGTTTCTTTTGAAGAATTACTTTCTGCTTGTGAGAAAGAGGACAACTAAGAAAGAGAAGAAAATATTTTATATGAGCTCACAAGTAAGCACTCAAATTTCTGAGAGCATCTCTTCATTTTTGGGGGAATATCTGGATTTGACTTGAAAATTAGAAAGATCAGGGGAAAAAAAACGTTAAAGAAACTAAAGAAAAGTACTTCAATGTCACTATTCTCTTTCTTTCACTGAACTAAATATTAAGCTTGAATAACAGATTGCAGGACTTGGTGTGTATGAGGCAGAAGCAGAGAGGGAGAAGTGAATGGGAGCTTAAAAGTATATTCCAAATTTTATTTTGAATGTTTTTAAAATAAAATGACAATTCAATTAAGACATGAATTATGTCCAGTTATCCTCTCCATGTAAGAAACTGATTTTTAAGGCAACTCCAACTGTGTTTTTTTAAAGAAACTTTTAATGAGAAAATGGAATCAGGATCAAAAATAATCAAACCTTCCTAAAGTTTGGAGCCCAAATATGTACACTTGTAAACATGTGAGTGTTATGTTAGCCAAATTCTTTCCAATCCACTGTAGAGAGAGGGGTCTATCAGTGATGTCTCTCTCAAAATGAGAGAGAAATTCAAAAGGAATCTTTCTGTCAAGACTGGTCTGTGTTAGTAGAGGTGTCAAGAAAATAAGAAATGCTGTAGGGCAAAGAGATCAGTAAAAAAGAGGGGAGGGCTTCCCAGGCTGAATGTGGGCAGGTGAGGAGAGGAAAAGGAGAAGGAAGAAGGTAAATATGGGCACAAACATCAGATGCTGATGGGTGAGATGAGAAATTGCAGGACGATTACAAGCCCCTGAGGGGAAGTGCTAAAGAAAAGGAGGAATGAAATGCTCCAATTATCTATATTGCACCTATGCAAAGAGTTAGAAAATCTACTGGAAGGAAAAAAAAAGAATTGAGCAGTGGAAGTGCATGTAACTGTGAAGGGGGAGAGGCAGAATAAGGTAAAGAGACAAGTCTGGTTCTACTTCACACAGATGAGTGCTTGTCTTGCAACAGGTACAACCGTTCCCTATATTTCTGTGTGTCAACCTTTCTTCCACCAGGATAACACCAATCATCTGCAGCTCTCCAATATGTTTACACAGAGGCTTAGCCATATGTTCCCATGGCCTGTGTGCCAAAAAACAGGGTGACTTCCTCCCAAAGTCCTGCTGACATACTCTG